AGCCAGCCTCTTGCCCCCAACAATCTGGCTCCTCATTTTAACAACCTCGGAAGGACGGAAAGCTGAGTCAACCTTAGGCTGGTCAGGATCAAACAGGGAAGGGAAAGGAAAAGGAAGAGAAAGGAAAGGTAGCAATAGCCCTTAGACTTATACATCACTTCGTAGTGCTTTCCAGCCCTCTCTAAGCGGTTTGCAGAGTCAGCCACAGCTGCACAATGGATGGAGACAGAAGTTCAGAAGGGACCCCCCCTAGATTCTCAAGCTGTAAAGGAGGAGGAGAATCCAGAACTATGGAAAGAGTTCAGAGTGTGCAGGTATACGGGAAAGACTTTGGGACACAGAGCAAAGAGAACCTGCCCAGGAACAGTCCGATAAGAGGCAGCATAGCCCTCAGATGTGTAACAGGCCGGGCGAGAGGCTCACAAGGGACCCTCCCTAGTTTCTCAGGCTGTAAAGGAGATGCTATGATGGTACGTGGGGAAGACCTTTGGAAGTGGGCGAAGAGACCTTGCCAAGGGAACATCAGATGAGAACCTCAGCTGCATAATGCGAGGAGAAAGAGGCCCCGAAGGGACCCTCCCTAGTTTCTCAGGCTGTAAAAGGGGGAGAATATAAATCTATGGGGAGATGGGTGCAAGGATGTATGGGGAACAAGGATGTGTGCAAGGATGTATGCGGAGACCCTGCCCAGGATAACCCTCAGCTGTATAACAGGCAAGGCGAGAGGCTCACTAGAGACCTTCCCTAGTTTCTAAAGCTGTAAAGAAGGCGGGGAGAGAATCTAGATCTATGGAAAGAGTTCAGTGTGTGTGCTGGCATCTGCAAGGATATGGGGGGAAGACCTTGGGAGACGGAGGAAAGAGACCCGGTCAGATAAGAGGCAGCATAGCCCTCAGCTGTATAACAGGCAGGGCGAGAGGTTCACAAGAGACCCTCCCTAGTTTATAAAGCTGTAAAGGAGTGGGGAGAGAATCTAGATCTAGGAAAAGAGTTCAGAGTGTGCAGGTATGTGCGAAAGACCTTGGGAGACGGAGCAAAGAGACCCTGCCAGATAAGAGGCAGCATAGCCCTCAGCTGTATAACAGGCAGGGCGAGAGGATCACTAGAGACCCTCCCTAGTTTATCAGTCTGTAGAGGAGTGGGGAGAGAATCTAGATCTAGGAAAAGAGTTCAGAGTGTGCAGGTATGTGCGAAAGACCTTGGGAGATGGAGCAAAGAGAACCTGCCCAGGAACAGTCCGAGAAGAGACAGCATAGCCCTCAGATGTATAACAGGCAGGGCGAGAGGCTCACAAGGGATTCGCCCTAATTTCTCAGGCTGTAAAGGAGACGGCAGAAGAATTGTACTTTCAGACTTACAAGATTCTTCCAATGTAGCCTTACCACAAACTCGGAATTAGCTCAACCAGTTGTGATTCCCATCCGGTTTACCCGGCGAGGCTGACAATCCTTTCGCTAAGTGACCCCCTGTTTTCCATCCTCCTTCCAGAGAAACCCTCGACGCCGCATTGCTCCATCTCAGGCAAGGTTTTCCTCGGCAACGAAATCACCCTCCGTTGCGCCTCTCAAACCGGCACCCCTGCCCTCATGTACCGCTGGGCCAAAATGGCAGATTACCCTCTCGAGAGTGGGCTGCCTGAAAATACCATGGCAGGTAAGTTTAAACTGAAGGAGTGCCCCAAAAGTTGGTGTGAAGGGGGGGCCGGAAGTCTCGTTGGAAAGGGAGGGAGATGAAAAAGCCCAGGGACGAGAGAAAAAAACACACGACGAAACTGATTTGTTGAAAACTCTCCATGCATACGTTTAAAATCCCTGGGTGCTCTGGGATGTGCTGGACTCCAATTCCCACCTGCACCCGGTCTGAGCATGAAATTGTGCTTTAACACCCATCTAAAGGGTGACAGGTGAGAGAGTAATTGGGCTGAGGAGAGCCAATTGGTGATTAAAGAAGAAATAATATTTGCCGCCAGTTCTGGTTCTTTGTTCCTTTTCCTTCATCGTTTCCTTATATTTTTGGTTTGGTTTTATTGTGTACCACACAGAGTCAGTTTGGAGTTGGGATGGTGTCTAAAATGGAATAAATCTATTTTTTTTTAAAAGAAGGAGGGGCAAAATATAAAGGGAACTTCTGGGATAGATGGATGGAGAGACGGATGGATGGAGGGGGGAATTGTTGATGGCTGAATGGATGGACTGATATGTGGATGAATAAGTGGATGATGCGATAGATGATGGATGGATGGATGGATGGATAGATGGATGGATGGATAGATGGATAGATGGATAGATGGATAGATGGATGGATGGATAGATGGATAGATAGATAGATGGATAGATGGATGGATGGATAGATGGATAGGTGGATGGATGGATAGATGATGGATGGATGGATGGATGGATAGATGGATAGATGGATAGATGGATAGATGGATAGATGGATGATGGACAGATGGATAAAGAGATAAAACAGATAGGTTGTTTGATAGATGGAAGGATGAATGGGTATAGAATGGATAGACAGACAGACAGACAGATATACTCTTACATCTTTCCTGGCTTTTCTCTCCTCGGAAGGTTCCAGTCCTGGAGATCTGGTCATTCACAAAGTATCACCTAAACATTTTGGGATTTACCAGTGCATCGTCTCCAACAAAGTTGGGTCCGCTCGGTGCACATTAGAGGTCTCACATGGTAAGTGAAAAGCCATTTGCTATCTATTTCTCAAGCCCCAGGCTTGAGGGAGGAAGGAAGGAAAGAAGGAAGGAAGGAAGGAAGGAAAGAAGAAAAGAAAAGAAAAGAAAAGAAAAGAGAGAAGGAAAGAAAAGCAAAATGGAAGGAAGGAAGGGAAGAAAAAGAAGGAAAACAGAAAGGAAAGAAGGAAGGAAGGAGAAGGAAGGAGAGAAGTGAAGAGGGAGGAGGAAAGAAAGAAGGGAAAGGAAGAAGGAAGAAGAAAAGGAAGGAAAAGAGAGAAGGAAGGGAAAGCAAAATGGAAGAAAAGGAAAGAAAAAAAAGGAAAAGAAAAAAGGAAAGAAGAAAGGAGAAGGAAGGAGAGAGGTGAAGAGGGAGGAGGAAGG